CAAATATGCTGCGGCCTAATTTCCATTTCCACTAACTTTATGCTTCTTCCTAAGAGCCATTTTTTTTTCAGAAAGATTAAAAGTCTCGCAAATTCTCAGAAACTGAGGCGAGAAGCATGTGCAGGCAAATGATTGATGGCTAGTGAAATACAAAAAGTATTGGAAGAATCTGTGGACGAAAAAGGCGAAATTTGTCAAAAACCAGCATGTGCAAGTAAACAATAGGCGTCCACATGTTGTGTTGGTTTACTGAAAATCCCAATGCAATCAAAATTTTCAGAAATAACTGAATTTTTAAAAAGGAGACGAAAGAATGTTTTGTTAGCAGCGGAAAAATGTTTTCGGAGCAAAAATCTCTGGCAGTTAGGCGAATCCCGAAAACAAAGAAAAAGCAATTTGATTAGCCATGCAGCCACCATTTTGTTCAAATGGGACCAGCATTCAAAATATTTAAATGTTCTGGATTGCATGTCTGGTAATTTTTTGAAAAAAACAACAAGTGCTAAATAGTTCTCCGATTTATTAATAGTTCTCTCAATGAAAACAGCTGGTAATAATGTTAACAAGACCTGCCGGGCTATCAGCGCAAACAATCCTCTGTTAGTGAAATTACCGGGATGCTTATACGGAATGTTCTATGCATTTCTTCATAACAATATCCATTTCGATGTATATTTGTCACCTCTTCGGGAAAATCCGTTGTAGAGCTAAAATTAGTTGCATAGCCAGGATTTTTCGAAGGAAACGAATTTACTTAACATTTTTAACAAATTACGAAGGAATTTTTTGTTTAAATCCTATTTCGTTGCACTTCATTTCATTTATTCATTCACCAAACTGACACACACATACTTTTCACACATACATATCAACGTTTGAGTATAGAAAAGCAAAAGAAAATACGAATCACAAAGCATGGTATACGATTAAAGAACTAAAAAACAGGAATTTCTTAGAAATGGGCCACAGCGTACTGCAACTGTGCATCACTAAATCAATAAATAGCAAAGCGCACCAGACTAACCGGTGCGATCATGCGTTTTGTGCAACTCAGCTCATCGAACGATTGCCTATTAATGATTTTCACTGCTTTGTACTTTAGTCTATGCGAAAATAGTTCAAACATTGAAAAATAGTTAAAAATTTCATGCATCTGCGCATGAAAGCTGAATTCGAAACCTTGAAGGATGAATATCTTTCCGTAATTCCCGATTTAATAGTTTACTTACCAAATTTTCACATGGCCTTAAGTGATACTTAAGAGCGCGGAAAAGCTGAATTTGAATAGGCAAGGTCGAGCGTGGGCAAGGGGTCATTACCCTAAAATTTCAGCTTCCTAGACTCCGTGGTTCCCGAGATATTAATTTACCCGTAAAAAACTTTCACGGGGCCATACGTGTTACCCGCGGGTACGGAAGGCTGAATTTAAATTTGCCACGTCACCCACTGGCGGGAACACTATACCAAAACTTCAGCCGCCTAGTTTTTATGGCTCCCGAATTGAAAGTGCGGGACATAATGTGGGACACACACACACACACACAGATAACTCCGTAACAACATGCGTTTTGTAAAGCTGTTACACAGCACAAGGCGCATAATAATCTATTATTAAAATTTCAAATTCTTAAAACAAAAAAATTTAAAAAATTGCCGAAAATTCATCTCTATTTAAGCAAGAAAGTTTAGAATGTGGAACAAATTGAAAAAAAAAAAACTGTGTCAACGGATAAAGCAACATTGTGGAACATCCTTTGGAGCATGATGCACGGAAATGTCTTCTTTTTCCAAACAGCAAAAAGCAGTATCAAATGAAGCCAATTTTGCATTTCCTGCTCCCAATTTCTTCTTGGCCCAGTCGAAAGGCAGGAAGGAGAAGATGAAACGAGTGGACGGACAATTCGATGCGCCGTCGATTGCAAACATTACACTGCTTTTTCTCGAGGACAATTGGCACCGAATGTGCTGTGAAGAAATATGTTCACTGTGGCAATATAATTCACGTCTAAATAATGTTAATAATGTTGGCCTATAGTTGATGGTTTTGCCCAGATCAAACCATCGAGGATT